AGCAGGAGGTAAAGTCATTTGTTAGATTTTTCTTTTGAAACTTAAAATTGAGAAAGAAGAAAACGTGGTAGCAATTTATCAAATTAAATAATCATTTTATCTTGGCACTAAATTATTTATCATGTAGTATATATCTGTTGTCTTAATTCACTGCCTGACATGATGAATATGTTACCTATTTATTGAAAATGAATAAATATATTGGCTTATGTATACATATATCTCACATTAAAATAAATGATACCATCTACTATTAGGAGTTCTTAAGTATTAAATACTAAAAATAACCTTAATAGTGTGTAGATATTTGTACATTTGTATAACCATAAGAACAGATATTAATAACTTAATATTTTCGCCTTCCTACTTCGTAAAGTGATAATAAACATGTTGTAGTATCACTAATATAACTATTTTAGTATAGAAATCATGGTATATTCTTTTTTATTATATTCTACATTTTTTTTTTTTGTATTCACTATTTTATACTTTACTAGAGGCCCGGTGCATGAAATTTGTGTACTCGGGTGTGTCCTTCAGCCTGGCCTGTACCCTCTCGTAGTCTGGGAGCCCGCGGGGGATGTCCGACTGCCGTGGAACTGCTGCACCAGCCAGCTATGAGCCCAGCTCAGGGCTTCTGACTGAGCGGCGCTCCCGCTGTGGAAGCGCACTGACCACCAGGGGGCAGCTCCTGTGTTGAGCATCTATCCCCTGGTGGTCAGTGCACATCATTGTGACCTGTCATTCTGCCATTCAGTCTATTTGCATATTAGCTTTTTATTATATAGGATAGTCTTTACCTTTCTCCATTCCCTGCAAAAAATCCTGTATAATAAAAGCCCAGTACCATAATGGTGTCACGACCAGAATGACCGCTTGACCAGTCACTGTGAGGTGCTTTGACCACCTCTCGGTCCCTCCCCCCAGCCCACAGGCTCTGATTGCAGGATGGCGAACGGGGAACCACAGGGAACCAGGGTGGAGGTGGCGGCAGGGCGGGACTGGGGACTGGAGAGTGGGCAGAAGATGGCCGTGATCGCAGGCTAGGCCTAAGGACCCTACCCATGCACAATTTTGTGCACTGGGTCTCTAGTGCTATGATAAAGAAAAAAATAGGCTTCTAAATTTATATACCTAGAATATTTCTCTAAAGCTGTAATGTTTCACAGAATATAAAATATTGATGGCTTATCTTTTTTCTTTTCTTTTGTAGACTCTAAAAAAAATGAATGCTATGCTTGACAAAATACCTCAAGATGCCAGGAAAATACTCTATAACCAAGAAATGTTAAATCTCATGTAATAATTTCTACTATATTGCTTTAATTAGTTGTTCAAGTTAAGAATTTAAAGGATGCTTTATAAGGCAACCATGAATTGCATTGATAATTAAAACTCATAAAACTGTTGTAGGTTTCTATTATAATTTATGGATATAATTTCTGTAAAAGTGTGATACTAGCCAATTATAAATTTTAGTGAAGTCTCTCCCCCCAACATATAGGCTTTCTATTTAATTTATATTAGTCTAGTATATAATCTATTCTTTTGATTCATAGGAATAGTATGGGAGAAAGGATTTTAGATGCTGGAGGTAAGTTTTTTCTCAAAATGTTTATATTTGAAGTTATTACACACATAATAGAATTGTTTTAGTCAAAATATATTAACATTTTAATGTAGTGAGATGTGAGAGGATTATAAACTATAGTCAAGCAATTTTAATTACTTTAACAAGTAATTAAATGACAAATATTTTAGTAATTAACTGAAATAATTAAGCAGAAGTTAAATATAATTTGTACCCAAGTTGTAGATTTATGAATAATAACTTAATTTTCCAATAGATTTTAATTACTTTTGCTAAGAAGTGCCTCAAATGGTATTTTATGAAGTTAGGAGGTTAAATATTCCTGGGATTGATAGATTTATTTTTAAGCAATGTGTTTATTAAAAGAACTCAAATTTTCTTTTCTAAGTTTCATATTAGAAAATTTTGATCTTGTGATTTTATCTATAGAATAAACGAAGTACTTTGGAATAACTTTAAATGTCATATTACACAAAAGGAAAACAAAGATTCTGTGATTTATAGGCCATTGAGTTGTTTTATAGTTCACAACTCTAATAATAATGGAATGCATAGTCTTTGAATATTTAGGAGTGTCTCTTAAGTAACCTTTAGAAATTTTTTTTCTCTCTTGTTAGTAAGCTTGTTTTGTTATTTGGGCTGTATTCATTTCTATAATAAGGAGCTAGTTTTAATTCATATGAAGAAATGGCAACAGATAAGCAATTTACACTAATGTTTTCTTTATCTTGCTAGTTGTAATACCTTATAAAATATATTGACATTTATAAACTCTTAATTTTTATAATTTCAAATAATACATTACCTTTTTTTCAAGATTATGACTTACAAGTAGGTATCGTAGAGGCTTTATGTAGAATGACAACAGAAAAACAAAGACGGAAACTGGCATGTCATTGGTTTTCAATGGATTTTATTGCTAATGCATTTAAAGGAATTAAAGACTCTGAATTTGAAACAGTAAGTAGTATAAAAATCTACACTAATAAAAGAGAAAGATGCAAATTGACTGTACCTTCATGACTCCCACCAGCCAACAAGGCATGAGTATGCAAATTAACCCACCAAAGATGGCAGGTTAATTTGCATACACAGGTGATGAGTGGCCAGGGGTGGGGCGGAATGCTTGTATTGTGGCCATGGCAACGACGCAGGCATTCCGTACCGCCCCAGCCACTCAGGGCCTCTGGGCGGCATGGGAAGGCGAAAAGGCGGCTCTAGGCCAGAACAAAGGCAGAAAGGTGGCTCCAGCTGGAGCAAAGGTGGTGCCAGCTGCCAGGGGAAGGAAGACTCATTCTTGCACGAATCTTTGTGCATCAGGCCTCTAGTAAATTATTAATAGCTTTTGAAAATTAATATGCTTTTTAAGTATATTTTTTATTATTGACATTAATACAGGTGACCCCCATTACACAGTCCCTTCCCCAACCCACTAGTGTCTGGACAGTTAGGGGCAACCAGGCTGGCAAGGGAGAGCAGTTGGGGGTGACCAGGCTGACAGGGGAGGGCAGTTGGGGGCAATCCGGCCAGCAGGGGAGCGGTTAGGTGTCAATCAGGCCAGTAGGGAGCGGTTAGGAGCAATCAGGCAGGCAGGTGGGTAGGCGGGCAGTTAGGAGCCAGCAGTCCTGGATTGTGAGAGGGATGTCCGAAACCGGCAGTCTGACATCCCCCAAGCGGTCCCAGATTGAGAGGGTGCAGGCTGGGTTGAGGGAAGCCCCCTCTCCTCCACGCATGAATTTTATGCACTGGGCCTCTAGTATAAGTTCTTTGGCTAATCTCTCCCTGTCACCCCCCTCCCTCTGAGATTTGTCAATTTACTATGCTTTTTTAAAGTCTCTCTTTTTAAAAAAAATTAGGATTGCAGGATTTTTCTCAACCTTGTAAATGGCATGCTTGGAGACAAGAGAAGGTAAATTTAATGCAGCTTATTTAATCTCAGGAGTAGACATGTGAGGCTAAGTTATGTAAACTTTTATCACTTTGATAATGACAGAAGAGCACAGTATTTGCAGTGCCTGGCACCTTATAGGTGCTCAGATACACTGGATGTCTGAGTTCACATTTTCTTTACTTACTAAGGAAATGAAAAATAGGTTGAGGAGTAAGTGCAATAAGTCATACTATTTGGATTTGAATCATAAATTTCTCTCTTTCTATTCTAACATTGGGCAGATTATTTAACCTTACTCGCCTCTGTTTCCTTATCTGTAAAGTAAGAATACTAATAATATGTATTTAATACATTTGTTGTGAGGTTTAAAGGAGATAATTATATGGGAGTACTTGTAATCATATCTGACCAAGGAAGTATTCACTGAATTCAGGCATTTTTATTAGGAGTATTATTCACTTCTTTTCTCATCTAAGGTCTATGGGAGCTTTCATTGTATTAATAGTACAAGCTAAGATGGGAATCCATGCTCAGAGTCAATAGCATGGAATGTAATAGCAATCTCCGCTCAGAGTCAATCACTTCAGACATAATGGTAGTTTGAGTAGTACCCTCAAGATAATATGCTTTCTCTACAGAAATAAATTTTCATTAAGCTCTTTTTTAAAGTAATAAAAGAGATATGATTTTATTTAAATTGTTTTGACCACTGCCTGATTTCCCTTTGATCCTAGATGTGATTTCTATGGCTAGTCAAGCTTATGCTGTTGTAAAGTCTGATTAATTTCTTTCTTTACCTCAAACTTCTTATTTCAGGGTCTTTACATTTCCTTGTTTATCAGCATTTCTTGATAAATATGAGGTAAGTTTTAAATTAACATGTGTTTTAGTTACTGGATAAATTTTGATGGAAGAGCCAAGTGAATTATAGATTACAAAGTGACAAAAACTTTAACAATAGTCATAACTAGACAAAAAATACAGCTGGTCTATTATTCTGTATCTAAAAGACATTTTATAACATGGCATATTTGTAGCTGTACATAAATGAATTACAAAAAGCTGTATTTCAAATATTTTTCTGTTTCCTTAATTTCATTATTGATTTATCATTCATGAATATGAATGATGAAATGTTGAAATTAATACTTTCAACCTTTATTTGCACTTGGAATATTCATGATTGAGCTAGCTAATTTCTGTGTATAATACTAAGCATTTCTTTATTCTTTCTAAATTTATTTAAATGCAATACTTGTCTCCTCTATGTTCCCTCCCCTTCCATCTATACTTTTTTTAAAAACAACACTCAACTATGAATTACATGATCATAATTCTCCGTTGTCACTTTTAATAGTATAGGATATATTAGTTTTATATGTTTATTTTAGTTTTATATGTTTATTTTATTAGCTGCAAATACCATCAGATGAAAAACTTGAGGAATTTTGGATAGATTTTAATTTGGGGAGCCAGACCCTATCATTCTACATTGCTGGAGATGATGTGAGTTTTATTCCCTTTGTACTATTTTATATGTATGTATATATATATATAAAATGTCCTAATTCAAACCCTATCAGTGTGGCTCAGTGGTTGAGTGTCAACCCATGAACCAGGTTGTCTCAATTTGATTGAGGGTCAGGGCACATGCCTGGGTTGCGGGCTCGATCCCAGTAGGAGATATGCAGGAGGCAGCAGGATCAGTGATACTCATTCATCATTGATATCTCTCTCTCTTCCTTTCCATTCCTCTCTGAAATCAATAAAAAAAATATTTTTTAAAAAATGTCCTAATTCAATTTAACAATGTAGCCTTAGCCAGTTTGGCGTGGTGGATGGAGCATCAGCATGTGGACTGAAGGGTCCAGGATTCAGTTTCAGTCAAGGGCACGTACCAAAGGCTTAATCCCTGGTCCTGGTCAGAGCACATGTGGGAGGCAATCAATCAATGTGTCTCTTTTACATCAGTGTCTCTCCCCCCCACTCTTCCCTTCCACTCTCTAAAAATCAATGGAAAAATATCCTCGGATGAGGATTAACAAAACAAAAAACCAATTTAGTAATATTGATTTCATTGTATATTTTATAGCTATTTCAATATATTTGTTATCTGAGTGATTTCTATTAGTATGGTAATGTATCAAGCTAATCCTAACTAATAAAAGAGAAACATGGTAATTAACTGTAACTTCGCTACCCTTCCCATTGGCTAATCAGCGAGGTATGCAAATTAACTGCCAACCAAGATGGCGGCCGGCAGCCACCCAGCTGAGCAAACAGGAGGCTTGCTTGCTCCAGTGATGGAGGAAGAAGGTTCCCCCCGCCTGTCATGACCCGGCTCTGAGCTCTGACAGCAACAGCTCCAAAAGAAACAAAGTTTCAATTATAGAAGCTAAACAAACCCCAGATACCTGCTTTCAGCCAGCTGCAGCCTCAGAGCTGGAGCGAGCAGGACGGCAACAACGTTTCAATTATAGAAAGTAAATAAATCCCAGAATAAAAAAGAAAAAAGAAAAAAAGGAGAGGCTGGGAGCTTCTGTCACCAGGGGGGCTTGGCCAGCCTGAACATGGCTCTCAGCCCCTCACTCATACTGGCCAGGCACCTCAGTCGGGACCTCCACCCTGAAGGGGGTGTGACCAGCTGCAAACAGCCATCAGCCCCTCACCCAGGCTGGCCAGGAACCCCAGTGGGGACCCCCTTTCTGAAAGGGTGTGACCATTCTGCAAACACCCATCAGCCCCTCACCCAGGCTGGCCAGGCACTCCAGCGGGACCTCCACCCTGATCCAGGACACCCTTCAGGGCAAACCAGCGGGCCTCCACCCATGAACC